GGCTTGTTTTACAACGTCGTTGCCAAGCGACGAAAACCCAACCCCGATGGTAAACACAGGGGGGAAGAGGGAGTAGGCGAAATGCTTGCAGCAAACAAACGTGGTTTGAGGTACACTTGCATAGCGGCGGCAACAGGCTGGATATATTCGTACAGGATCTCGCCAGCAAGTGGCAGCAGGACCGCGTCGTCAGTTTGTCGTATGTTTCTGCAGCCACTTGTGCATCACGGCGAGCGCTCCCGGGGGTTTCAGTTGACACTCACCTTGTGCCACACGGCTCGCATGAGTCACGACGGTGTTTGTGGCGGTGAAGAGTAGTCCGTGGTGATTTCGATGTACGAGTGACACAAGGACAGACTCCCATGCAGTCGATTCCATCCCGCGAGACGAATCGACGGCTTCGAGGACGAGGTTTCAGTGACCCAAGTTTGCTTGCATCCAACCTGTGTGCTGCTCAATCGCTCTGCTGTTCCCGACATCAGGTACGGCACCATGTTGAAGGCGAGATTATCGTTTTCGACGACAGCAAGCTGCACAAGGCATTCAACGAATCTTCGGGGGAGAGGCTTGTTTTGATCGTTGACATCCTGCGACCGCCAGGGGTGCCTCTTGGAACGGCAGACGGGGAACACACCCCCGAGCTCGACGCCTTCATTGATGCTTTCCGATGAGCTCCTTTCACCCCACCCCCACAGCTGGTGCGCCCAGGCCGGTGGGCTGGTATAGTGTTTTTTGTTTTGTTGATACCTCGTTCGGGAGGAGCGGAGTCATGTGTAGTGCAGGTATCCTCGTATTGCCCGTCTCTATCTATCTCTCTCTTGGCGAGGTTGAACGTGATGTGGAATGAAAAGAACTTGCTGCTTTCGTGGGCGTGGTCTTCAGTGTCTACATCTTGGTGGACGTGCAAGTGCACAGCAGTACAGCAGTAAAAAGGCCTTGGGGCGTGAGCTACGAGTGAGTATCATTTGTGCCCCCTCTCTTGTTGTAGTTTGGTATTGTTATTTAGATTGTTTGATACGTCCTTGTTTTGTGTCCTGTTCGTTCTGCACTTACTCGTTGTTGCTTCCAAGCTTTCATGTTGGGAGGGAATCAGGTACCTACTCGTTCATCCGTTGTATTCAGCCCGGGGGATGGTGTATTGAAGATTCCCTACTTGATTCCCTACTTTGCGGGACTAAGCAGTACATCTACGTAGACAGTGAGATGCTAGAGGGTGAGAGCAGCCCTCGTCACGCCCATTTTGATGGACTGGACGGAGGTGTGCGTGGGCCCTGTCGTGAGCAAAGTTTTTCTGTCTTTGTGGCCGGCGAACAGGCAGTGTTTGGATTCACTTGGACTCGACACTAAAAAGTCAACATTCATGTGGATTATGCATTCAAGCAGCAGAGAGGCCTGCAGACACCAGAACAGATGTTGGACTAACACGAACTCACACATGCACGGATTGGCCAATCGGCATGAAGAACGCCCCCAAATCAAGACACGTCGCATACTACTGCTGTTAGGGTGGGTCCTACGTAATTTTTTTGGACTCTAACATCGAACATCGAACAAGCGGTGTAATCATGTGATTGGCCAAGGGGGGTGTTCCGCGGTAAAGACGAATTGTCTCTCCCGCGGCGAGGAAAAACTCAAATGAAAAACCGATTTTGGATACATGTCTAAAACGACGTTTAGAAGCATAAAAAAACGAGAAACAAAAAAAAATGTGACTGGATCGCCTTGATTGTTTTTTTTCACCGCGTTGCCGATTTCGGCGCCTCCATTTCACCTCGGCAATCGATTCCGCTTGGCCGATTTAGGGGGGGTAGAGCCACTCAGAAAGTTGATCAGACAAAAACTCGACGTGGGAACCGAGAATCCAAAATCCCAGGAATTTTGAAATTGCTCAGCTACTGTCAGCTTGTGAGCAGCTGAAAGTCCATTGCAAATCAAAACTGGGACATTCCAACAATACATTTGTGATCCCCACCCCAAAATGACCCTAATTCGAAGTCAGGAGAGATTGAATCAACATGTGGAGAGTGTTGCGGGAAGGGAAATATTTCGGTGTAATTCCTAGTAATTCCAGGTTATCCCTGC